CAGAGGTACATGGTGTACTTCTCCTCCACTACATGTATTTAATACCTCTAGTTACTTCACAGATCTGGATGAATGATGTGAAATATAACCAAGTGTTGAATCAGACTTTAGTTCCACCTGGAGTAAATCCACCAGCTACCCTGCAGTATACAAAGTACTTCAGACTAGCTGCTCCTTTACCAGCTTTGAGAACACTTTCATGATCAATCATTATAAAACATATCATATATATTATTCTGAAATGGACCAATCTGCACAACGACTACTTTCACTGTCGCTACTTTCACTATATTTAGATGAGAATACTTTTCTACTTTCACTTGAGGAACATTTTGAATGCAGGACTTTCACTGTAACAGAGTATTCCTACACTCTGGTACTTCTACTTTTACTCAAGTACAACATCTGAGTACTTCTACTTTTACTCAAGTACAAGATATGAGTACTTCTACTTTTACTCAAGTACAAGATCTGAGTACTTCTACTTTTACTCAAGTACAAGTTCTGAGTACTTCTACTTTTACTCAAGTAAACTGAGTACTTTTACTTTTACTCAAGTACAAGATCTGAGTACTTCTACTTTTACTCAAGTAAACTGAGTACTTCTACTTTTACTCAAGAACAAGATCTGAGTACTTCTACTTTTACTCAAGTACAAGATCTGAGTACTTCTACTTTTACTCAAGTAAACTGAGTACTTTTACTTTGACTCAAGTACAAGATCTGAGTACTTCTACTTTTACTCAAGTAAACTGAGTACTTCTGCTTTTACTCAAGTAAACTGAGTACTTCTACTTTTACTCAAGTAAACTGAGTACTTCTGCACGTACAGTATAGAGATTGCGGAGTCTCTCCACAGACGGCTGCAGATATACTGAAGCCGTCTGTGGAGGAGCGGCTGAAACAGGAACACTTTTATTTGAGTAAACTTGGTCTTTTATTGAGTCTCTCTGTTGGAGACCATGTGATCCTGTTCCTGTTCAAGCTGTGCTTCTGTCAGCAGAGCGATCACACACTTCATCACAGCCAGAAATAACTGAATTAAAATGTTCTTCCTTCTCCTGGTAATAACTCCAGGGTCAGAGCTGCTGCTGGCCGAGCACAATTATAAATACATAAAAACACTCTGTAGTGTCTCTGAAGTATCTATCAGAGTACTGAAGACCTTCATGTGGACATTGCATAATAACTGTCACTACCAGAAGGTTAAAACAATGCAACTTAAAGAGGATTCTACATACAGTGAAATAATAGGAGTACACTGCATCAATAAAGCCTTCTCCTTCAAAGAATCACAAAGAAACGGCTTTCATGCGTGTCCAGAAAGGTTCCACTTATGTAACCACGCCAAGATGTTTGTTGTAAGTCATTTGTGTGTTCTTTGACACCTTCGAAAAAGTGTGAAGGTATCTGTAATGTCGCCCTGACCCTAGAAGACGTCCAATCCAACACATCACCCGACTGGCAATAAGAAGGAGAAGAAGAAGGACCGTTATTGATCCCCCGAGGGAAATTCCGTTTCTCTCAGTTTTTTATACACACAGGTATATATTCGCACACACACATTGAGAGGTCAGAGTGGAGAGGCAGTCAGTGTAGCCGGCGCCAAGTTGGGGGTTTGGATAAAAGCGTCAGCTAAATGTAATGTAATGTAATGTAATGTAATGTAATGAACCACTGCCCCCCCCAGTCTCTGCATTTGACCCATCCTAGTGTTACAACAACTGTAAGAGGATGTGCTAACTCCCAATGTCATCATCATGGTTCTCTTCATGGTTCCTTCAGTTTGACAAGCTGCACATCTGCTGGATGTAAACAGTATTATGCCGTTACTCCGAGGGTCCGGATCTGAAACAGTTCCTCCTTTTAGCGTCTATTTCCGTCACAAGGTCAGATTCAGAAATAGCTCGCAGCCATGAAGTCACTTTCAGAGGAATTCAAAGGTCAAGCGTGGACGACACGGCTGCAAATACCACCGTGACGGCTCAGTTTTTATGAGAAAGGCCTAAAGAAGGGCAAAAAGGGAACTTCATACTGTCATTTCAACAGAGGTGGGAAGTAGTGCAGTACAAATACTTTGTTACTGTACTTAAGTACATGTTTCTGGTATCAGAACTTTACTCCACTACTTATTTTTCTGACGACTTTTTACTTTTACTTCTTACATGTTGAACTCAAATACCTGTACTTTCTACTTCTCACATGTTGAACTCAAATACCTGTACTTTCTACTTCTTACATGTTGAACTCAAATACCTGTACTTTCTACTTCTCACATGTTGAACTCAAATACCTGTACTTTCTACTTCTTACATGTTTGAACTCAAATACCTGTACTTTCTACTTCTTACATGTTGAACTCAAATACCTGTACTTTCTACTTCTTACATGTTGAACTCAAATACCTGTACTTTCTACTTCTTACATGTTGAACACAAATACCTGTACTTTCTACTTCTTACATGTTGAACTCAAATACCTGTACTTTCTACTTCTTACATGTTGAACACAAATACCTGTACTCTCTACTTCTTACATGTTGAACTCAAATACCTGTACTTTCTACTTCTCACATGTTGAACTCAAATACCTGTACTTTCTACTTCTTACATGTTGAACTCAAATACCTGTACTCTCTACTTCTTACATGTTGAACTCAAATACCTGTACTTTCTACTTCTTACATGTTGAACTCAAATACCTGTACTTTCTACTTCTTACATGTTGAACTCAAATACCTGTACTTTCTACTTCTTACATGTTGAACTCAAATACCTGTACTTTCTACTTCTTACATGTTGAACTACAAAATACCTGTACTTTCTACTTCTTACATGTTGAACACAAATACCTGTACTTTCTACTTCTTACATGTTGAACCCAAATACCTGTACTTTCTACTTCTTCACATGTTGAACACAAATACCTGTACTTTCTACTTCTCACATGTTGAACTCAAATACCTGTACTTTCTACTTCTCACATGTTGAAATCAAATACCTGTACTTTCTACTTCTTACATGTTGAACACAAATACCTGTACTTTCTACTTCTTACATGTTGAACTCAAATACCTGTACTTTCTACTTCTTACATGTTGAACACAAATACCTGTACTTTCTACTTCTTACATGTTGAACTCAAATACCTGTACTTTCTACTTCTCTCATTCTCCAAACAGCTGGTTCCTTTAGTCTGAATGTGTGTTTGGTGCGTGATCATTATTCTTTAGACTCATTGCGTGCCTATTGATTTGAACACGATCCGTGTATCCATCATTTCCTGGTCTTCTCTAAAGAAGAGGGACCAATGGAAACGTTGTCATGTTGCCGTTGTTCAGCATGGAAACATTCATTAGCAAACAATGACATTATTGTTCTATTAATATAAAGGGAGGTCAGGTACTCTTTAAAGCAGCTGCTAGTTATGGGTACTTTTTACTGAAGTACATTTCAAAGCCTCTTTACTTTGACTTGAGTAAAGAAGTTTAGTCAGTACTTCTACTTTTACCAGAGTATTTTTAAACACGAGTATCTGTACTTCTACTTGAGGAAAGGATGTGTGGACTTTTGCCATCTCTGGTCATTTTATTCATTTCAAAACTTTTGTCATGCATTCAATGTCTCTTTCTGTGCTCTGATTGGTGAACAGTTCCTCTTGTGACCGTCGTCCCATCAGAGCATCATCCCTCTGAGATGTGCAATATGCAGTTATAACATTTAGCACAAACAGCACCTGACATGACGTTACCCCCTGCTGGCTGTCAGTCACACAGGGAGGCATGCTGCTGACCTCTGACCCCGGCCTGTGATTGGCTGCAGACCACGGTGACAGGATGTTTGGAAGGGTGACTATCTATTTCTCAGCAGCCATGAACCTGTCTCCTCTCACGAGGAATTCACTGTACGTCTGCGGGAAACAAGCCCAGCGTGACTAGACGCTGAAGAAGATGGGCTATGTTTGAGGAGAGGACTCACTCTGCAGGAAATGGAGGAGATCTATCTTGATCTGTGGGCTCATAAGGGCTGTTTTATTCCTCCAATACCATATACATGTTAGCTCAGCCTAGCTCAATCATTTGCTGGAAATGTGATGAATAAAAACATCTTAGCTCTCATAGATTTTAAGTTTAGTTAACTTGTCAAAATCACATGCTGGATTTTGGGCAAGTAAATTAAGTTTAGCTCCATTTCTGGGATGTTCTATCCAGACTAAACGAACAACTAGGTTTCCACTTATATTTGCACATATATGTCAAAAAACAAAGTCTATATGGCCTGTGCTCCCAATATATTATATTGTGTTAGAAGATATATTTTTGAATACTTGTGTTTTCTCAAGTTTCGGGATGTCCATTCCACTTCCTCTCACCTGGTCTGGCAGTCAATGGTTTTCTCAATATGTTTTTCGGTTGTCCTGAAATAAGGTTTGCAATGATCCAATATCACATGGAAAATCCCAGTGGTTGGTTGGTTGGTTGGTTGGTTGGTTGGTTGGCCGGTTGGTTGGTTGGTTGGCTGGTTGGTTGGTTGTTGTTGGTTGGTTGGTTGTTGGTTGGTTGGTTGGTTGGTTGGTTGGTTGGTTGGCCGGTTGGTGGTTGGTTGATGGTTGGTTGGTTGGTTGGTTGGTTGGTTGGTTGGTTGGTTGGTGGTTGGTTGGTTGATGGGTGGTTGGTTGGTTGGCCTGGTTGGTGGTGGTTGGTGGTTGTTGGTTGGTTGGTTGGTTGGTTGGTTGGTTGGTTGTGGTTGGTTGGTGGTTGGTTGGTTGGTTGGTTGGTTGGTTGGTTGGTTGGTTGGTTGGTTGGTTGGTTGTGGTTGGTTGGTTGGTTGGTTGGTTGGTTGGTTGGAAGGACGAAGAGAGATGCCAACTTCCGGATCAGGCTTAAAAATAAAACAACATCATCGCTGCACCACTTTCATTTTCTCAAAAGGAGGCAGAGTGACACCTCTTCCCTGTCCTCCATCTTTGCACGGTGACACAGAGAAGCCCAAACAGGGAGAGCTGCAGATGAGGAGGGGGTGATGAGGAGGGGTGATGTGAGCATGCCAAATGAGCACATGAAGACAGTAATGTGATCTGAGCTGAGTGACAGGACCTCTATTTTTTCTGCAGAGGTTTGACAGAGCTATAAAAGAGTCCGAGGCTCCAGCTGCTGACAGAGACACGGACAGAGACACTGAGCATCAGACCGGGTGGAATAACCTCCAGATAAAACACTTATATATATTTATCTTTATAATATCAAAGAGAAGAATGGGACTGCACAGCGTCGAGGAACTGGTGAGATATGCTGATGTGTGTGGATGTGAATGAATGATAATTATGAGGTTTTTCGTCCAAAAAGGATTCGTTTTTCTAGACTTTATATTCGGGTTGAAATAAGAATATTTTTTTAAAGAAAAGCCTTTTTTTTTTTTTTACATACAATGAGATAAATTAATGATGCTTAGAATAAATGTCAATTCTTAATCATGTCCGTACTGGTACTACTTCCTGTAACTTACCCACATGTGTATTTATAGGAAAACAAGCATTTATTTAGTTGCAAAAATTCAAAGTAAATGTAAAAAACTGAAAGAAAAAGTCAATTATTTCATTTCTTCACCAAATGACATTTTTTTAATTTGCTATTCAGGACCGACAATCCAGTATTACATCAATGATGTCTTATCCAAACTCCCTTTAATTACTTAATGACCTTTTTAATGATCCTTTACTTTGCACGATTAGAGGAACGGCTACTTAAATACAACTTGGCCTACATCAAGAGTAATTATTTGATCCATCATTGCTTATACTACAGATTTCACCCCAGATGTCTTGTACTTAATATTATAACCGTGGAGTCTCCTTATATAGATGAAAGGATAATGAAGCCCTCTGAGTGATTACACGAGTGATTTAGACTCATTAAAGCATGGAAGTGTGTTAATGTGTTTACTCTCCTCTGTGATAGAGCTGCTCGTGTGTTTACCTCTCAGATTAAGACATTAGTGTGTGATCGCAGTTTGTCCGTACAGAAATGCAAGGAAAGTTGAGATTTTTTAAAATGTTGACACATAGATTCACGAGGCGATAAGATAATAGTTTATTGTCAGATCTGTTTGAGACATCAACAAAGACACATATTAAGAAGTAAACAATGGAGGCGAATGGAGGGAACACAGGGATTTTAGCCTTTGCAGACCATTTACATGCACTAAAACAAACTACAGGAGAGGGAACAGCACAGAGAGCAGAATAGGGACTCTGTAAGTAGTGAGCATACAACTTGTTTAATGAGACTTTTCAAACTGAAGATGCTGTGTGAGTTCTCTTTCTTGCACTAATGTACATTTTGACTGTTATTTTGTATTTGTTGTGCTTTGATTTATATCTTAATGTGTGCATATGTACAAATGTGTCTGTAGATTGTGTATATATATGTATATACATATTGTTATATATATTTGTATTTTGTATTGTGGGAAACGGAATTTCGATCTCTCTGTACACACAAACTGAAAGATTGACAATAAAGTTGACTTCAAAGATTGAAAGATTCACGATTCAAAGGTGTTATTGTCATGCTCATACGCTACAGTGTAGAAATGGCAATGAAATGATTCTGACCTGAGCTCCTCCAACAATGCAACATGTATAATAAAATACAAAATAAAAAGTAGTGCAAGAAGTCTATATACACGTAAATAGAATATGGGATATGTACAAGAACAGACTTGGACTTTGACTGACTTAAAATGCTGTTTTTTATGACCTTCCCTCAGGTGTCCGGTAAGAGGTCAGAGGGCAAGGAGGCGGCTGATTTCCATGGCGGAGAGTACGAGGCGGCGGTGGGTCAGGAGAAGAAAGACGGCATCGAACCGGAAGAGGTCAGCGTGGCAGCTCTCAGCGTAAGAACCAGAGATGGCAAAAATACACACATCCTTTCCTCAAGCACAAGTACAGATACTCATGTTTAAAAATACTCTGGTGAAAGTAGAAGTACTGACTAAACTTCTTTACTCAAGTCAAAGTAAAGAGGCTTTGAAATTTACTTCAGTAAAAAGTACCCATAGCTAGCAGCTGCTTTGAAGAGTACCTGACCTCCCTTTATATTCATAGAACAATAATGTCATTGTTAGCTAATGAATGTTTCCATGCTGAACAACGGCAACATGACAACGTTTCCATTGGTCCCTCTTCTTTAGAGAAGACCAGGAAATGATGGATACACGGATCGTGTTCAAATCAATAGGCACGCAATGACTCTAAAGAATAATGATCACGCACCAAACACACATTCAGACTAAAGGAACCAGCTGTTTGGGAAATGAGAGAAGTAGAAAGTACAGGTATTTGAGTTCAACATGTAAGAAGTAGAAAGTACAGGTATTTGAGTTCAACATGTAAGAAGTAGAAAGTACAGGTATTTGTGTTCAACATGTAAGAAGTAGAAAGTACAGGTATTTGAGTTCAACATGTGAGAAGTAGAAAGTACAGGTATTTGTGTTCAACATGTGAGAAGTAGAAAGTACAGGTATTTGAGTTCAACATGTAAGAAGTAGAAAGTACAGGTATTTGTGTTCAACATGTGAGAAGTAGAAAGTACAGGTATTTGAGTTCAATATGAGAGAAGTAGAAAGTACAGGTATTTGTGTTCAACATGTAAGAAGTAGAAAGTACAGGTATTTGGGTTCAACATGTAAGAAGTAGAAAGTACAGGTATTTGGGTTCAACATGAGAGAAGTAGAAAGTACAGGTATTTGAGTTCAACATGTAAGAAGTAGAAAGTACAGGTATTTGTGTTCAACATGTAAGAAGTAGAAAGTACAGGTATTTGAGTTCAACATGTAAGAAGTAGAAAGTACAGGTATTTGGGTTCAACATGTAAGAAGTAGAAAGTACAGGTATTTGTGTTCAAAATGTAAGAAGTAGAAAGTACAGGTATTTGAGTTCAACATGTAAGAAGTAGAAAGTACAGGTATTTGGGTTCAACATGTAAGAAGTAGAAAGTACAGGTATTTGTGTTCAACATGTAGAAGTAGAAAGTACAGGTATTTGTGTTCAACATGTAAGAAGTAGAAAGTACAGGTATTTGAGTTCAACATGTGAGAAGTAGAAAGTACAGGTATTTGAGTTCAACATGTAAGAAGTAGAAAGTACAGGTATTTGGGTTCAACATGTAGAAGTAGAAAGTACAAGTATTTGGGTTCAACATGTAAGAAGTAGAAAGTACAGGTATTTGAGTTCAACATGTAAGAAGTAGAAAGTACAGGTATTTGAGTTCAACATGTGAGAAGTAGAAAGTACAGGTATTTGAGTTCAACATGTGAGAAGTAGAAAGTACAGGTATTTGAGTTCAACATGTAAGAAGTAGAAAGTACAGGTATTTGGGTTCAACATGTAAGAAGTAGAAAGTACAAGTATTTGGGTTCAACATGTAAGAAGTAGAAAGTACAGGTATTTGGGTTCAACATGTAAGAAGTAGAAAGTACAGGTATTTGAGTTCAACATGTAAGAAGTAGAAAGTACAGGTATTTGTGTTCAAAATGTAAGAAGTCAAAGTAAAAAGTCGTCAGAAAAATAAGTAGTGGAGTAAAGTACTGATACCAGAAAAATGTACTTAAGTACAGTAACGAAGTATTTGTACTCCACTACTTCCCACCTCTGAACACAGGCCATAAGATATTGAACACCTGAACTTTTTAAAGAACATCCATAAACATTCATCTGTTTACATTTTGCAAATTATTGATCTAATATATAATTCCATTCACTTGTATATAAATGCTTCTTGCACTATTTATATTTTATTTGTATTAACTTGCACATCTCAAAACATTCTCTTGCACTATTTTATCTGTTTAATTTGTTTATGTCCTATATATATTCATGTTGCTCTGTTGGAGCAGCCTGTGACCTAAGTTTTTCATTGCCATGTCTACACTGTAGCTAATGTACACATGATGATAAAGCCTTGAAACTTGACACAGGGTCGAATGATCAAAAAGCTCTCAGTCATTAAGAAGTACTTAACAGTGACTCCAATAACCACAGAGACGTCCCGCTGTGTGTTCTTATGGGGTGGTTTTATGCAGGTATATAAACGTGGACAACAGTAGAAAAATAAACTCTTCATTACCAAGGTTAATATTCATATCTGCATGGGTCTACACATCCATCACCGTGCATATCACCATCCAAACATGTTGAAAAAGAAACCCCAAACAGCTCAGTAAACACTGCTAGACGTTATTTGATCATTCACAAGTTGTAACATTCTGAATAAGCACCGTAACTATCATGATCTGAGTTTGTCAGAAAAAAACTGGTTGTTTCTGTGAATGGCCAAATGTTGTGTGACGTTACATTTTGGGACAGCATTATCTCCTCTCCTAAAGGATGCTCCAGTGTATCCTTAAGGAGATACCAAGGAAGCATTGAAGCTCCTTTCATATCATCTATAATCTCAACAGCTCTAATCATGGCTGCAGCTCAGAGACCTCCACTCTGTTAGGAACCTTCCTCCGCTGCCACCTGCTGGCCTTTTACTGTATAACACCGAGTATACCATGGAGTACACTATAAAGATAACCCTCATGATCATGGTGTTGTCGAGAGTTGGTGCCTTAGAGAAATCTAGTTTCCATCTAGTCGCCAGTATTTCTCTGTTTGAAGGTGCAAACATGTTTATAATCCATATAATCAATCTTTCATGACCCTGTTTTCACACAAGCTTTGTTAAAGACAAGCTTCTGGACAGATAGTTATCAATCAATCTGAACAGACCATTAATGAGCACTATTTCTAGAAACATGCACGGATCATAATGGAGCATTGGAAATACAACAAAATAGTACTTTAATTGAAGGTTGTGATACTTTGGGTTTTTCAAGTCTTTTATATTTCCAAATGTACTTTCAAGTCTCAAGCATATATCACTTCCATGTACTTAACCTTTTTGTACAAAGCTGTTTTTTTAAAAGTAGTTTTTATTTTTCCCGCTGAAGCTGTATGT